CAGGGAATGGACCATTCCAGGCCATTCCATACCATTCCAAAATGGTCAAAAATGTTTGTATTGGTATGGAATGGTATGGAATGGTACGGAATGGCCCATTCCAGCCCATTCCGCCTTTTCCCCCTTGCCTTTTGCTCTATCTTTTGCCTCTTTCTCGACTTTTTCAACGTAGTTTTAGATTTAAATGACGAAAGGTTTCTTGGATTGAGTAAAGTGTGATATAGTTCGATAGATCTCCTCGAGAGCTATCGAATGGTGTATAATATGTGCCCATTTGCATAAGTTTCGGTTCACATTTTCACCACACGCCCAGTAAATGATAGGGAACAAGATGCACTACTTAGATTTTTTCTAAGTTTACTTTCGCTTGTTTTTACGAATTGTACAATAAACTTGCAATTCACTCATATGCTGTCATTTCTGGCAAAAACGGATCAGAAAAAATTTTTAAAAAAATCATAGCCATATGGTAGATTTGAACAATCGATTGATGATCTCAGACATTTCCAGCACAGATAGTTTAGACAAGTAGACTATATCATTGGTCTCAGTGTGTAAAGCCAGACGGTCACTTCTCAGTGTGTACTGTAAGTACCCAGCAATTTGAAAGAGTGAAAACTGAGTAATGAAAATCCTGCCTACTTGTTCTATCACAAAGTTGAACTATCTTCAAGTATTACTTCTATAGTCTTATTTGCTACTTTATATCCATGTGACAAAAAAAGTTTGATTTCAGCTATATATGAATAAAGCAGACATCTTAAATTTTATGCGCATTGTCAGAATATTTTCTGACGTTAAGATATGAAGCCTTTTGAATACGCATGCGTCTGTATTTCAGTCGTCATCAACATCGTCATAAACGAAAATTTGAAAACAAATTAAGTTGTTTTCTAAAGTTTATAAATTCAGCAGTAAAAATATTTTTGGGCGTCCACTTGCTCGATACAGGAATCGTCATTGAATATAAAAATGATGCTTTGTTTACAGAATTACAAACATTTCATATAAAAAAAGCTTATTGGCACAATTCAAGATGTGACTGACATTATTGATAGGAACTTTACTGCAGCGCTCATTAATTATTAGTAGAAATTTGTCATAAAATGTTGAAATCATTAAACGCTGTAGATTTGTAGATTATACTTAAAAAGAACAATAAAAAATTCCTTGAAAACCTTTGGATTTCTTAGTTATATACCATTATTTATTTAAAGAGAATTGTACTAATAGAAAATACTTTTCTTGGTTATAATATAGAAGACTTGAGTTTGTCATTACGTATTCTTTTTCCTTCGTTCTTCTGCTGCATTGGTTAAACATTTAAGAAAATCACCAAATTCGAATGTAAATAGTTCGTCTAGTTCAGTTTTTGTTTGACGAAACATATAATCGCGATAATTGTAAGCTGATATTGCAAACACCTCCGGCGTTTGTGTCAAATTTAAATCTAATAAACTATCTTGAACTGCTGTTTTTGCTTCGTTAATTATTTCTGTAATAATTAATTTATAATCATGTAGTGCTGGCTGATAGTGACGACCAAATTTTTTTCGACATTTTGGTTCTATACAACCATCTCGTTTATTGATCACAATAATCACTGACGTTTTTGATTTATCTATTTCTTGCAGAATGTGCCTTTCATATTCACCTAATGTAGCGGTTGCTGCCACCAAAACTAAACAATCAAATGCAGCCAAATGTTCTCTTTTAAAATATGTGGCTACTGGATGGTCTCTTGTGCCACAGCCTGGGATGTCCCATACCATTACATGTTCAAAAGGATAAAAGTCTTCATTCTCTTGAATACTGGATCGATCACTTCTCGGATCTGAAGACGACCTACCCGGCGGAAATCGATATTTTTGTTTTTCGATGGTAGTCTGATTTTCACCAGTTGGTGCCGGGCCAAACATATTGTATCTAAACTCTGTATCGTTATTAACATCATCCAACAGGCGAAGTGAATTGATAAATGTCGATTTGCCTAGAACAGGGGTTTACTTGGGCACAAACTGAAAGACGAGTAGTTTGCTTACCGGCATTCTGTGCACCACAAATACCAAAGTTATAAAAGTGAACAACGTCCATATTCAACTCTTTCCGTGCAGTCTCAATCAGTTGCAAAGTCGATGTTTGTTTTTGTCGAGAGAGTGGTGGATTAGGCGGCGGTTTACTTAACTTTCTTCCAGATTGCTTGACTAATCCTACAAGGACAGAGATACCAACAACGCTACCAGCGCCTATTCCAATAAGAATAGCGGCGAACAGAGGAAGCGGCATCTGCAACAAGCACTTTGATAAAAAAAGATCTGTAACTTTGTCTAGGTTTTAATCTAGAACGATCGAACTGCTGCTGTATTTCTAAATCTTTTTTTTCTATACTTATTTGTATTTTAACAATTAAAAAGTGAAACCAGTCATGAGACCGTCATCCAACTATAGTTTTATCTAAAGTCAACAGAGGAAAAAAGTCTTTTATATATGTTGTATAATGAGTATTTCACTCTCAGAAATATAATTGCACGCGTATGTATCGATATAACTGCTCTATCATCACTGAAGACACTTTTACTTAAAAGTATCATCATTTAAGACACTTTATATAAAAATGACACAACGCATGATATCTTCCAACCACTGAAGAGCGATTACTTCACTGCTATATTTGATTCTAAGAACTAAAAAATTGTTCTTTCTTCCAATAAAAAGGAAGCATTGAATTTGCGTTGAATTTTTTGCACTATGCTGGTTTTTTTTTAAATGAAAATGAATCATTTTCAACAGATCTGATATGCGACGGTCAAAACAATTTGGGACGTTCATAGTCCAGGTGAATCACTTGGATAAAATTACATAACACAGTTTAAAATTAATATATAGTTCACTGTTCATGACTAATGAAACACTATAAAGTTATCACGACCATCCAACATTACCTGATTGGTCTCAGGATGATACATTGTGGGTTATATATGGTTGTGATTACTGACTATGATTGCTTGTCGATTTCAAATCGAACTCATCATAACAAATTCAACTACGTTCGAAGCGGTGTGCAATGGATCGATGTAACGACAAACAATCGGACGGAAACAGATGACCCATTCTATTCTCAGTTAAACAAGGTATTTGACTATCAGACTTAGTTTATAGACTCAAATATAGCAGTGAAGTAATCACTCTACAGTGGTTGGAAGATATCGTGGGGTTGCGCATTTTCCTATGAATATAAAGATGATGTTTACAAAAGTCGTCATCGAATATAAAAATGATGTTTACACTAGGTATGCACCGATATCGATATACCGAATACCGAAAATGCCGACTTTTTTTGACTTAGAATTTTTTGGATTTTTTCATTTGAAATGAGGTATTTTAGCATCCTGGACAGGCAAAACGTATAAACAACACTCGGCTGTGTATTTTGAGCATGTGCAGATAGAAAAAAAAAGAAAAACTTTAGCTTTAGAAAGCAAACAAAGCTCTTGTTTTCGTCCCTGATTCATTCTGGGTATCCAGGATGCTAAAACATCTCATTTCAAATGAAAAAAATCCAAAAAATTCCAAGCGAAAAAAGTCGGTATTTTCGGTATCGGTATTTCGGTATGAATACCGATACCGGTACATGCCTAGTTTACACAGTTACGAATATTTCATGTTGACATACTCCTTCAACTCGAGGTAACGTAATTTATATAAAAAAGAAACACTAAACTCGAACGTGAAGAGGTAAATATTGACTAATAGCACTTACACTTATCTAACTGATACAGAAAATATCCAAATAAAAAGTGTCATCGGTGATGATAGAGCAGTTATATCGATACAGAGGCGTGCAATTGTATTTCTGAAAGTGAAAGAACTCATTATAAGGTGCACGTAAAGCAAAATTACAGCAAAAATTTTATTTTTCGATGTCTTATATATCATTCGATAGAGAATTTCACGGCGAGCAAGAATATGTGCCCCTCTGATTTTTTTAAAGGCTTCCTTCCATTTGAAAAATCGAAAAAACTCGATGGGCGTGAAAAACCCGATTTTTCGCCATTTTTTTATAAATTTGAGTTTGCCAAGCTTTGTGCCAACTTGGACTGTTCAAACTGCCATATTCCTGTTCAGCTTTGAAAACTGAATCAGAAAATGGCCTGAAAGCCGTTTCAGACCTAAACGTCTGTGGACCAAGATCGTCGAAAGCAAAGCGACTAAAATCCCTCTACCTATTCTTGCAAACTTTTCACAAGTTTTTCTTGAGATGTTAGAGCCAATATTTTCACATGGGTCGACGCGTTAGATGCTCCTCTTCAAAAGTATACGTGCAGTTTTTTGAAATTTTTTGTCTTCGACGAGAAAAGTCGATTTTACTAAACGCTATGCCCAAAACGCCAAATCCTTTTCCGGTTTTTTGCAAGTTTCGCTAAAAATACAATTATGAGAGCGCCAAGTAGGTGAGAAACCAAGGACAATTTGATAGAGACACTGCTGAGATCTTCAGAGGATTTCTGGAGGATCTTCAGCGGGTCTTGGGAAGGCTTTTGTTCAGGTCGAGAGTTCTAGGACATTCGTCAGTGTTGGAAATATCCATGCGTCACATGCTAGATTTTGCAACATGATGTATTGGATTTTTTCCCAGTGTATTATCATATGTTTTAGATTGGATTTTTCCAAATATATTCGTTTACGTCATACTTGGTATTCTCCAACCTGCTTATATATAAAACAAAGTTTTTCTCTACCTAAGCTAATATTTACTATGCACATTGTGAACTCAACTGTATTGAGGGGTTGTGGTGTTCTCAGAAGCTGTTTGTCCGCCGGAAAACTGATCAGACATATAATACAATGCTGAAGTTGATTGTTGAGTCACGTGAGAACTTTCGAGAAAAAGAGATTTACTTGAAACTGTTACGAAGACTTTGGAGATGTTTGCAAGCTTACGAAGACGGACAGTCGCACGCTGAAGTTATGAAGATGTTTTTTAGTTCTTACTGTGAAGGAACAGTTAAAACTCACACTCGTATCAGTAATAGTAATTTGGACGTTTAACTTCTCCGATTTCAGAGAGCGATTTCGTCTTGGCTTTTGTTCATTTTCTCTTTTTCTGTGTGATTTTGATTTTGATCGTGATTATATTTATATACATGAAAACATCAGTGTACACAAAGAAAATGGCTACCCTTAGTCATAGGAGCAATTCTCAAGTCAAAGATCGCAGCCATGGGTCACTTTTACCTTCTAAATATATTCATATTTTTCTGTCGCACATCAGTGAATTCTATTAAATGTATTATGATCTGAATAATATTCATCACAGGGTGTGAAAAAAATGCATGATGTTCTTCCAACGGATTATTTTCGATCCACGAATAAAAAAGGCAAATATTTGAAACAGATAATTCGTAACAGACTCATTCAAGTATTATTAGATTTTGTAAAATCTGACATGAAAACTATTCTTTATGAATTCAAAAAAATAAAAATGGACACTGTAGAAGACGAAGATTTAACTGATAACGATGACGAAGATGAGGTGATTACATACTGTAAGAAAAACTGGTATCGTATGGAAGAAGAACATGAGCTTGAAGAGCATTTTTGGCAGGATTTTGCTAGAAAAAGGGTTGAAATAGATGTATTCTACATCGTTCGACAGAGAATGATTCGAGCAGTACAGTGGGACTGTGAGCAAGTGCGTCAAGCCGAAAAACCGCAGAAAACCCCGTCGAATCGTGTTTTTGTTGCAAGAACTGTACGAAAAATGGGTCTTTTGACGTTTTGACTCGAGTAAAAGTTGTCCAGATCTGGAAAACACTTTCGGCTCTACAGAGGGATACCCCTGAGATATGACCTGATTCGCCAGACAACATGTTATTTCTGGGCTTGAATATTTCAAGTTCAGTTTTTTCATTCTTTAGCGTTAAAATCTAAAAAGTCCGAATTTCGTTATGTGATTCTACTTTCAGAATTATCCATTATTTTAGCAAAGACTATAGATTTTAGAGCTCC